GATCCAGTGAATCTGATGCTTCGCTTGTGCCTCACTTAGCAAATTGTTTAAGCAAACAGATCCGGATAGATTACTTTCATCCGCTTCCCCTGGATGATAAGAGATTTGATCTGAATTGGCCATGCACGAATAGCCTATTTGGCGTTTGTTAGTCAGGGGCTGGTATTAACATGAGGACGTTGATATATATCGACACAAACCTATCAACTAACATGTGAAACTAATCGTCAAAACGCACTGGCGTTTGTAGTTGATAACATCTGCTAACTGGCATTGGAATCGTAAAACTAGTATTTGTTCCAGGTGTATGACAAATGTGACCGCGTTGTTACTGACCACTAAAGCCAAGGGGTGCTTGATCCAGCAGATGTCCGTCCCGTAACCCACGAACTTGGACTCCCGGCTGAACTCTAGGATGATGCTGATGGTGACGATCAGACAGGGGGTCAACCAGATGTAGCACATGTAGGCCTTTACACTCCTGAAGCACACAACAAAGCATAACACAACAGTACATAACACACATGTCCTGTATGACGGTACTGCAAAAACAGATGGCATGCACATGGGACAACGACTAACATTTTAACGCAAAGATATGGTTCTTATTATGTTTACCGAAGGAAAACATATTATATTTGCTCATTTCCTCCTCTTCCTCTTCTCCAAACACCTAAAAATCGTAGATATTTTCGTAATTAGAGCTTGGAGGAAAATGAAATTCAGCATGCTGGTAGGTTGGTACGTTAGACATTGAACCTTGGTCATTTTGGCCAACATAGATGTCAGAAAATGATTTTATTGGCAAAAAATGGGTGAAAAAAGTTGCATTTTAAGCCAAAAATCGAACAAAAAGAACGCGTTTGGAACATTCGAACAACCATGGAACAATGGAACAGCGTGTTCGATAACCGCGGTCAATGACCCTAGCGCTACGCACGGAACACCCGAGATTTCCAAATATGGCCTATGGGCATCCGCCCTTGTATGACACGAGAAGAGATCGGTGGATCAATGTCAGCGGTCAGTTTTCATTTTTCTTCGTAAATACGTCATATGAATACCAGTCTCGAGTAGAGAATATTGCATTGGGATTTGGGGTTCAATATCCACAATTAGGACTGCAGATTTCCACAGGACGCCGGCGACTTTGTGTAATTTTTGCATGTCAACCGCCGGCTCAATAAAAAAAAACACTCATAATTTACACTAGCTCCTGACTTGATAGAATCTCGTATGTATAGAGATTTAGGCTTGCTGCCGTTTTGAAAATAAAGTAAACAGAATTGTGTTCATCTGTAACTATTGTCGACTTTGTAATGTGGGTGCGGGGCCGGGGAGGGGGCGTTTGTTTACGTTTATATAAACATGGATCTGACATTACATTTTGTCGTTTTGTCAGACAGTTTCAATCTTTTTCGGGATAACACAGTACAGTTCATGGGATAAGCATCAAATCGGGATTCATCGGGATATCCCGGGATTTTTCGGGAACCATGTTGACTAAGATTTTTACAGACAGACGGTGCAGCGCATGTTTGTTTCCAAATTATGCATGATGATAACAGTAGCACAATAATAGTGTTTTTAATCAAATGTTGTTGTTTTTTTTGATATCGAAAATTTTAGTGGCTTAATAATGTTTAGAACGATAACAAAATAATACAACCGTCTTGGTACGAGAATTTCTGTCTGACCTTGCGATGTGGACGGCCCTAAGTACTGCTTTTGATGTCACCCGACCCGCGCTATCTCAGATATAAAATCTAACACATCCACGTGCCATGTCGCCAGAAGTTCATTTTTCTCCTAGATAGGGGAGGTCGACGCACGGAGCTGCGGAAGGGAGATTAAACATTATACAAAAGAGGGGGGGGCGAAGCATAATTAGAAAGTTCTTTACGCCTCTTGGCTGTGTTTGCGATCAGCGACGAACAAGAATTGATACATTTCTGTGACTGGGCCACGTTGCCACAGAAACGGCACGCAGCATAGCTATCACCGCGCGGCGCCCAATCACAGCACACAGACGGGGACCCGCCCACTGGCTGGGCGGCAAGATTTCAAACTCAAAGGCTCGATGCTCCGCCCCAGAGACTCCGGCCGCCCTGGCGATTGTAGCGATTTTCCGCCTCAGTCCTGCAAGCGGCATTGTATTTTTCATTCCAAAACAACGTTTTCACAAGTGACATCGAGAACGAGAATGCTTTTTCCACCGGAAGATTTTTTGCCAGCCGCGTGGAAGTACTTGCTTTCAGGGTAATACGTACGTCAATGGACGTGGTCGGATCGTTGATTGTTGATGCAAGGGTTTATTTATTTTATGTGTACGTGTTTGCATGGGAGGGGTGAGACGCTTGCCGCGGGATTTTGATGTGCAAACGTTCCTAATTTTCGTAATACAGAGACTACTTGACGCAGTCTGCTTATGAGAAGATGAGTAGACCTCAACAAGCCAGTTTAGTTATTAGTACTATTAGTATTAGTACAAGATGTCACAATGAAATACAACTACTACTACAGCCGGTACGCCCCATTTTATTTGAAGGTTTATAAACTTGCCGAAACTCACCGGAGACGAAGGGGTTATTAAAAATTCATTCCTGCTATTTTCTTACAGTTTTCGTGAGTTTTTCGCTGCACAATAGCTTTGTAAAAATGTAGCAGTTCACCTATTACCGCGTGAGGAACGCGTCATACACAATATACACTCCTGTGCTATCGGTGAATAAAAATTTTGGCAAAGTTGACTGACGTCAGGGTGCTCCATTGGCCCTGCCCAGATCGCCCGACAGGACGTAAAAATAAACATTTGGCACGCCGCCATCGGTGACAGGACCCGCGGTAGACTTGGAGATCTCGCACCACACGCGGATATCTCGCGGGATTTTTCGGGACGCCTATCCCGAAAAATTCCGTATCCCGATGATGCATATCCCGTGATTCTGAAGTTATCTCTCTAAACATAATAAGGATAATATCAGTTTCTGATCACATTTGAAATGCTTACTCTCCTGTTTGTATCCTCATAAGACTCTTAAGATTGGACCTCTGCTAGGAAAGGAAGCAGAACTTGGTCCATGAGAAACTGGGGAGGAACCTAACAGAGCTGAACCCAGCCATCCACAGAAGGATACAACACATCACAACCATTTCTAGAACACATTATATCTCCATTTTGGTCCAGTAAATATTCATTATGTATGTTAAA